AGTTTACCTACAGCAAAAGAAAAAAGCTTTCTTAGCTTGTAGTCTAAACATTGACGGGAGGATTTATACAAGTGTATAGACAGTGTTAGATAGATATAAACTTAGAAACCAAGCTGTTTATTGAGAAATAAGTCTCTCAGTACTCCTTTCTCCTAGCTGAATGAATCAGTAGCTTACATACTGTCAAACTGGAGAGGAACAGGTTGGACAGGCCTACCAGGCGTGCTTTTTAACTCCTAACCCTTCTGACACTGGAATGTTGTTAGCATTCTCACCTACTGTCTTTTCCAGACCTTTCATTGCAGTTAGTCTGTCACCCACAGCACAGAGCCCTTCTAATTTGGTCAATAGCTACACCATTTTCTCACTCTGTCTATAGAGAAACTCTTCTTCAGACTTATACAAAGGAATTTGGACGTGTATGGAAAATTTTCTTCATAGTTCCTCTGCAATTACTTGGGTGAAGCATCTCTTCTAGTGCTGAGAATTGTAACAAAAGACTTTGCTGCATTGATACCAGAGAAGGAACGTTATTAATAGCTTTGATGTCTCAGAGTGAATAAAACACAAGGCAAATGACACAAGGTTTAAAAATGAATGAATCTGATTTTTTGTTATCTCATACTCATTAGGACTGATTTTATAGTCCTTTAGCATATAGAGTTTGCCCCATGGAATTGCTGCAGAATAAAATCTCTGAGGGCTACAGTTATCTATACCTCTTGTTCAGGATACTCCACGATGCTTGTTTCTCCCTATTTATCAGGTTAATGAAAAGTTTCTTTGTTTAGGGAGTTTGGCCCATGTCTAGTAGCTGTTTGATCTTGGGCAGTGCGGTTAAGAGTAACACATATTTTATCATAAGACAATTCAGAAGCTCAAATTAATACACTATAAAAAGGTGCCACATACTATAATAAAATTATTTAATAAATGAATACCAGATTTCTATAATTCATTTCCATCTATGTTCTTAACAAAACAATACATAGCAACCAAACAGAAAGATTTTAAGACGTTTATCTCATTGTATTTGTACTCAGTTCCTCACATCTGAAGCTAAAGCTTCCAGTCACCATAATTAAGACCCCCTCATCTTGAATGTGCTTACAGGCATGTCTGGTTCTGATCCTGAGTAAGCTGGTTGAAGCCATAACTACTATTTCTGATTTTAAAGTTGAGCATTTGCAGGATTAAGATCACTTGAGCCAATACCTTTATTTTTTTACAATGTCTTTTTTTTGGTCAGCCGTATCTCCTAGTCTGGTTCTTAATTTAGTAGCACAGAGAGTTGTGTCACCCAGCTGATGTGGAAATGGCAGAAATGTCTACAGAGACACAGCATTAGTGTATTTCTACATTTTGCTATGGAGAAACACTGAAGATGGTTTATCACCGCAACAGTAGTCAGGATAACGCAGCATAGCTGTGTTGCTTCTGGCACTATGCTAGAGTTTGCACAGGACTAGGACTTCTATGCTGGAGTGAATTGTTCAGTACCTGGCACAATTTGAAAGGAGATTAGTTTGGTAATGTTTATTACTTAGGAATCAAGTATATCTTTCCAATATAATCCTAATCAGGTTTTTTCTTTTTTATGTTGATTTCCTATGGAATCAGATTTGTTGTACCATGGGGAGAAAGTGTAGTGTGTGTGTCCAAAGAACTCTTGAGTGTGTTTGATTTTTTTTTGTCAAGTTTGACTGAGGTATACAGGTGTCAAAGGTCAGTTCCTACAGGTTTTGAGAGACCTGAGGAGCTGCGAAGAGGAAACAAACTCCATCTGTGTCTTCAACATGGAAGAAGCTGTGGCATAAATTAATACTTCATTAGACACCAGAGAATCTATGTAGACCAGAAAAATACCTTATAAATGCCTAAACAGTGGGAAGAGATTTAATTGTGACAAACAGGCATCTCATGTTAGATCAGGAGGCTTTAGGGGCTCGTTAGTCCCAGTGCTCACTGAGCTACTTGTTATAGCCTTCTGCTTCTTTTGCCCTTGTTACCATGAGTTGGAAAACCTCTTTATCACAACACAATCTTGTCTCTTCCATTTGGTTAACAGTGATGTTTTTTATTTTTCAGAGAAGTCACTTTGAATACCTGGTGCACAAATTGGGCACAGTGAATTAAGTCTATGGCAAATGAGGCTATAAATGAAAACAGCATCTCTGCGGATCTCAGCATATTTGCTAATGTACTATCTTATGTTTATTTTACTCTAGGTTGAAGAAATTAGTACTCTTCGCACCTTATATGAAGGAGAGAATGAAGAAATGTCTTTAAATATTGCTTTTGAATATACCATGTAATTCTGATTCCAGAAAATCATTTCTTCTCGTATTCCCTCTTCATCTTTGCTCACACCAATAAGGAAGGTGAATATGTCTCTTTTCTCATTTTTCCTCTCTTGTATTCATTCTTTCTTGCATATCTATTATCAGAAAGACAATTATATAAATGAGACTTATCTAGAACTTCTGCCCAACACTGTTTTCTTAGTCTCATAGGCAAGTCAGATTTTTTGGAACCAATTATGGCAACTTAGTCAGGAAATGATGGAATTGCACAGTTCAAGGGAAGATGGGCTAAATTTTAGGTCACAGTCTTTTAGCTCTTAAATTTGTAAGGTGATGTAAAAAACTTGTACAATCTTATTCTAAAATAAAGTGTATAAAGACAGTTTCATGTTCCTTTCCTCGGCGGCAACTGATTAGCTCATTATTACATACATTACACAAATAACACTGTCAGCAAGTCTGATGAATAAAATAATTTTTAGCTTGCATCATGGCAGGAATAGTGTAGGAAAAAACATGTTTATTAATTGTCTTCTGTGTAATGCACACTGTTCTCTTGCTGATCAGGGATCTTAAACAAACTTTTCCTTCAGAAAATGTGTAGTTCTGTGAGTGCTGAAATTAACGGAGGCTAGTTTCCTTCAAATATAACTCTTGTGGTTGACTGATTTTTTTTTTTTTCGATACGCAAGGTATGAGCCTTTCCCTTCATGGGAGTAATTTATAGGCTGTCTACTTTATTCAATCATCTGTTTTTATGAATGGTTGGGTCTTTCACTCCGTAATCTCTCTGTCAGATCTAATGAAGGGCAATCAACAGATTCAGAAGTAATTGAGGAGGTGGAGGAGCAAGGACATGTAATCCTCAGGCAGATACAGTATGCAGTATGAGGAGATATAACTGCAAAGCCTTGGAAGAGTTATATTTCAGTGTTCTTTGTGTCAGTTACTCCTTTATCCTGTTGGGTCCTTGGTTAGATGTCCTGTAGCATTATAATTTTCAACATGTGTCTGCTGTTAACAGAATCTCTGAGAGGGTTGTGAAGCTTTTTTTCTTGTCTTTGTAGGGTAATAAACTGGTGTATGCTTGAGACAATGGAGTCCATGCTGAATAAATTAAAGAGTACTGTTACAAAGGTAACGGCTGATGTCACCAGTGCAGTCATGGGAAATCCTGTTACCAGGGAATTCGATGTTGGCCGACATATTGCCAGTGGTGGTAACGGACTTACTTGGAAGATATTTAATGGAACTAAAAAATCAACAAAACAGGTGGGTTGTCAAGTTCAGACATATGTTTATAAGCATTAGATGTCATGCTGTTGTGCCACTTGCTAGGAAGCATTTAAAAACAAAATCCAATTGGGCAAACTAATAGTAAGGGTACTAGTATAAGTAAAATGAAATGAAGACACAAAAATTACTTAAATATAATGTTCTCTGCTCAGGTGACAGTCTTCTAAGCCTTTATTTTAAGCCTTCACTGCTGGAGAAAGAAGTGGTTCTGTGTTCATGGCATCCTGTTCCTTCCAGCCTCTCTGTTACAGCTGTTTCAGTGTTCTGTGCAGAATCAGATCAAGAATTATTCCAAGTTAAAACTGATCTGACAAGAAGAAAGAAGTTTGTTTTAACTTGGACCAGTTTCCCAGTTTGGTTTGCTTTGTAGTAGTACTGACTTTTTACAGTTTAAAGTAATCATAGTTTCATGTTTGATCACGAAATGATCATGATATCATTATTTTGTCTCAGGAGATGAGGCAGTATAATTTTTTGCTCAACTCTGACACAGAAATTGAGGGGTTATAAATGTTATTAGTCATGAGAATACTGTAACAAAAATACATGAGGGATGGAGGGGGAGGGCATGGAGGACATGAGCTCTGCCTTCCCTATGTTGGTTTCAGATCCATGTTCCCTTTCCGGGCGGTAACTCTGTTTCCTTAAATTGCTAGAGTTTAGAGCAGTGGTATATAAACTTTTGACTAACTTGAGGCCGCATATATAAGTGGGGGTGAGGTTATGACTTTGGAAAAAGGTTGGCCAGAAAAGGCGCTTGAGAGCTACTGTTGCAGAACATGATTTTATTGTAACAGATAAACGTGAAATGTCTTTCTTCACCCTTGGAAAGGAAGTAGAATTTTCAACAAGTAAATGAAAGAGATAGTAAGTTACGTCCTTCAGTTCAACTTGCAGCTGAATGAGGTGAAGTCTCTTGGTGAATCAGATTGCTACAGATGAAGAAAAAAGAAATGGACACAAGGGAATAACTCTGGAAAACATATACAGTCTGTCACATGGTAGGAAAATACACAGTAGCAAATGGAGTAGAAATATACCAAGCAGGAAAAATAATTTGTGGTAAATGTGTGATCTGATTGCCTCAGAAGCTGAAAAATGTTAAGCAAGTACTTTTGCCATGTTGTCAAGCATCTGTCCAGCTGTTCTAGGACACTATACATCTAGTATTTACTGAATTTGCCACATGTACCAGTTAGATTTTTTTTTTTTTGTCAAATTTAACCACACAGAACAGTTGTAACATTGAAGTAGTGGTAATTTTAATAGTTCATATGCAGTCTCTGTGCTCAGTAAGCAATTGACCTGTAGCAAAGTATAGCTTTGAGGATCTGGAGAGCTGTAGGAAGTTTCTTTCAATCTGGCTAATTAACACAGCACATGTAACTTGTTTTCCATTGGTCATGTTTTTCAAGCTTTGAATGGGTGTTCTGACCACTGATTTGGCAGTGTTTTGAGTTCAGGTGTTATCACATGTCAGCCTGCATTATCTCTGTAAACCCAGACTAAAATCTGTACATTTAAGTGCAGTCATCAGTCACCAGAAATACAGTGGCAGTTGCATTGCAGGGAATTTTACTTGGCTGGTGGTTTGACATGCAATTACCATTCATTATTAGTGATGCCAGTTAGGTAACATCATGTCAACGTTCAGTCTGACATTGCAAAAGAAAACTACCCAGCATGACAAGCAATTTTTGTTGTATTATATTGCACTCTATCTGTTCTTTAACATTATTTTTTATTTGTTTTGTCTACGCCTTCTGAACATTGTTTGGCAACACTGAAGTGGCTGGCTGTCATTTTCTAAGTGATATCAGTCACTTTTGTAAAGTGTTGTACACATTTCCTGTATTGCAGACATAGGTATCTAATTTGAAGCTGCAAGCACTTAGCTTTCTTTCTGTAGTAAATGTATATTGTGCAGTCACATGTAGATTCCATAGTCATTTATCAGACGAGCAGGTTGTATGGGCTTTATTGCAGATTCACTTTATAACAACACAAGTAGTAATTTAAATCCTTGTAGCCAGATAAAATGGCTAAACTTTGAGTTTTAATATTGCGGCAGTGGAACTGGTCTGAAATCTTTTGTTCCCAGGACAAATGGAAGTCAGCTGTCTTACAGGAGTTGGTCAGCTGAAGTTAGGATTTCAACTCTGGATTAATTTACCTCCAATTTTAAGTCAATAGACAGTTATGAAAATTCTGTCTCTGGTGACAGTAGACACGTATGATTTTACTCCTCTTTGCAGAGTTCCACCTTGTTATTTTTCCTTGCATTCCTGAATATTTGTGTATTTTTTTTAATGTGTCTTATCTTTTCTTGCTTACTTTCTAGGTGACTGAATAACAACATATCATATTGTGAGGAAATTATATGCACAGGTGCATATAATTTTATGCAAACATATGCATAATTTTATGCACTATGTGCATGTTTGATGCTATTTGATAGCTGATTTGTTATTTGATTTGCTGATATGCTATTTTGTTTGTTTGAAAGATTTATAGTTCTTTCTAGTTATACTTGTATACATGAAGTAACATGTTGCTTATTTTGCAGTATGTAGTTCCGTGCATCTTGGATTTGTTTGCTTTGTCTTTATGCATTTATATTTTTCTGGGCTATGATGGCGCTTGTCCTTGTTTGTGTTCAGAAAGTGCAATCATAAAGAAACAGAGTAAGATCACTTAAGACTGTTCTTGTCAGCAGCTCAGTTGTAAAAACTAGCAGAATAAAGGAGATATTGGATTGCACTTCTGTAGTGTTGTAGTCTTGGTTAGCTCATATCGTGCTAGAACTTAATATGTTAACAGTAGATAAATCAGCTCTGTTGTTTTGGCTATTGTCCATACACTCTGTCTGAAATCAGTGTTTCCTATTATGCAAGCTTTAAAGGCTAATTTGTTTCAAAACTGTAATGTTGTGTTGTATACCTTAGGACTGAAATGAACAGATGGAAAGTAGGATTAAAAAAAAAATGGCAAAATTCTGAAAAAAAAAAAACCCAAATGAAGGAAAATCTTCTCTGGCAAAAGACCAGAGTGATATTGGAATGCTGTCCAATATTTTAATTCAGAGAATATTTTGCTTTGCATAGTAGGAGGTTTTGGTAAAACATCATGTGTTTGCATATGGAGTTGCATTTGATTGTTCTTTAAAAAAAAAAAAAGAGTGAATGCGTATGGGAAAAATAGATAACAAATGTAAAAGACAAAAGAAATATAAAGTTCCTAAAATCAAGCACTCTGACTGCTGCCTTAAGATTTCCTTTGCTTTTATGACATAGTCTTTAACAACATGATCGCATTTGATTTTTTTTTCCACTGGAGCACTACATCTTTCATTTCACAGGATAAATGGTGAATGGCAGTTATTCAATATTTTGTGGATTTTTTTCCCCCATTGTTCTATTTTTAGTCTCTGGCATTATTACTCCACACTATTCAAAGTGTACTTGAAAATAGAACAATTGGGGTTTTTTGGTATTCATGACTATAGTACCTGAATAACAAGTATTGTTAATACTTGTTACTTTACTAATTGCTAGTATTGTTACTTCCTCAATATACATTGAGGTGGATAGGAAGAAATATTGCTATTGTCATTACATTTTAACAGCTTTTAGAGACTTTAACTTAACATTATTTTGTAGTTTGGTTTGCATCTTTACATTACACAAACCCAGTGTATTCCAGCACTTTTTGTATGGCTTACCTTTCTCCTGGTAGCAGGAGACAAAGCATGGCGTGACTTTCCTGGTCACCTTTTTCTAGTTAGGAGTTGAGGACATCAGGAGCTAGAATGGAAGAGATGGCTCACAGCTTGCTTATACGCACCAAGGATAGGTGCAGTATTTATGTTTTCTATCCCCTGGTCATGACCTGTGTTGATGAACACCAGCCGTACTTTTTCCCAACCTGAGAGTAGAGTGGGACTTGTTTTTATGTGGACTTTTCACTATTTGCCTTCTTAAGGTTTGGGAATAATTTTTTTTTTTCCTAACACTGGTATTGGATGAGATAGGAGTCATGTTTTCAGTTTATAAGATGTTCAGCTGAGTAAGTAAGGAGACATGGTTCAAGCTGTCAGTGTTAGTGAGTCTCTGGAACAGTTGTCCATTTTGAAAGGAGTGCAGATCCCACACAAAGCAGGATTGGAAATGGACTTGGAGGAAAACTGCCCAAAGAAACCAGGAAAAGGAAAGTGGGCTGTTCAGTGATTAATACTGCTGGGAGATAAAACTTTTATAAAGGGGTAAAATAGTGGATGCCAGGTCTTAAGGACAGTGGTCAACACCCATCCCCTGAAATCGATGAGCACAAAGAGAACTGATTTATACTTTTCTGTTCAGGGTCTGATGGTGTTCTAGATGACTTAGTACAATTATAGCCTAATTAAACCATGCCCCATGTCTTGCATGGTGCGGACAATTTTTATTCCTGTTTGCACAGGTGCCAGCATTTTTAGTAGTTACATTCAAAACATTTAGAAAGACATTTAGTTGCTTGGTAGGAGGACTGCTGAATTTAAACACTGCTCTTTTCATTGATTCATGTTAACAGTTCTCAATTCCTGTCAGTAACTACAGATGATTTCTTTAATGTCTTTATCTTGGTAAATATTATATGGTGCACATCATAATATACAACTATCTCATAGTCATTACTGAGCTTTATCTTTCTGACACTTTTTGAAGTAAAGCATTGTTGAATTAAGCATGTAAGAGGTGAAGCACACGGTGTGGATTAGCTTGTATTTGTGACACAACTGAGGTTTAAACTTAGGTCTCTTGACTGGCCGATCGAATGCTCTGTGTATCTGTCCCTACTTCCTAACCTAATTTTGGTAGTGGAGCTACCAAAATTCTGCATTGAAACAAGAGCACGTTAAACAAAGTATGTTTACGTCTATCACATAATGAATGGAAATTTTTATCTTTAAAGATAATGGTTGTTTTGTTCCTAATTTTTCATTTTGTTGATAGCATTTGTAATTGTTTTATATTTCAATCTCTTGTATGCTAAATTTATTTTTATAACACAAAGCTGGAATTACAAGATAAGAATTTAAATAACAAGTAGCTGTCTTGCATTGAAACAAGAGCACGTTAAACAAAGTATGTTTACGTCTATCACATAATGAATGGAAATTTTTATCTTTAAAGATAATGGTTGTTTTGTTCCTAATTTTTCATTTTGTTGATAGCATTTGTAATTGTTTTATATTTCAATCTCTTGTATGCTAAATTTATTTTTATAACACAAAGCTGGAATTACAAGATAAGAATTTAAATAACAAGTAGCTGTCTGCAAGAGGAAGCTACTTTTTTTTTTTTTTTTTTTCCAAACCTTTCAAACCTATGACATGAAAAATACAAAGTGGAAGCTCCCTTAGAGCTTTCTGTAACAAAGAATTAACTTTGTATAAATCTTCACAGGCCTTCATCTCAGTTGGTTTCCACGAAGGTAATCACATCACCAGCAAGTGGAATCCCTGAGCTATAGTCAGCAGCCCTCCTTTTCGGGGTTGAATATCAGGATGTGCAAAACAGAAAAACAAGAGTAATGTATTCATAAACAAAATTTGACAGGGTTATTTGGTCCATGCAGCAGAAAACCCTAAAGGCTTTTTAATGTTTCTGGGTGTGTTAAACAGTTTTAGTAACTTTTGTGCAACAGAGAAGGTGTGTCCTTGGCTCCATGGTTCAGCTATCTCTTGGATCTTCTTGCATGCAAAAATTTCTGGTGACTTATGGGATTTAAGGTGTTATACTGTTGATGTCAAATTCTGCATATAAAAATCACTCTTGGTTATCAAATTTAATAATGCATTTCAGAGTGTCTTATTTTGAATTATTAAAATCAGAACACATTTTACACTTTAGTATGCGCAAGCGGAGACTGTGATGGTTATATGCTTTTTTCTTGCATCAGAAGCGTTAAATGAAAATGAAGATACTGAAAGCAAATTGTCACACAGTTCAAATTATTTTGATTCTTGAAACTCCACAATTATAAATGGTGTTTGCATCTGTAAAATCAATGTGGCAGCAATCATTTTCACACCTTGAATACCTGTTATATAACTTCATATACAGATAAATATGTAAGCTGATTTTGGAGATGATAAAATTCTGCCAAACTTCAAACAAACCATGCGGGATTACAGCAAACACTAGCAGAACTTATTTATAGCTATTCTTAAATATTCAAAATATAGTTGACGTCCCAAACTATCTGATTTGAATATTCTCATTCTGATACTTTTGGTTAAACAGAAATGCTTTCAGAAGTGCTATATTAGTTTGAGATTTTGTTATTGATCACTTATTGCTCAATACATTCACGCATTGTACTGGAAAGTGTGTATTTTTTAATAGTGGGTAAAACATATATCTACCATCCCTGTGACTGTTTCCTTTCTGTCGGTGTTAGTGTTTGCTCCATCACACTTGAAAGTTGGAACAGGGAGCTGATTTGTGTACGAGCAGAAAAAGTGTAGTTGTGTTAGTTGTGGGCATTCACCTGTTAACACTTTAATGAAATAGGTACTAGCTGAAAACATAAACCAGTTTTTGTATGTTGGACTGAATTTCTTTTTCTATAGTCTGTTTGTAGTTTGTTTGTTTGTTTTTCTAATCAACAACATAACTGTTCCTGGCACATTTCAGTTAGAATAATGGTTATAAAATGTGCAGTACAAAAGCATAGGTTTCCTCTTGGGAGTGAGTACTATGTACTGCTATATTATTGTCTACTAGTTTCCAACATTTTTATTTATTATTCTTCATAATCTTATTGTAGAAATGAAAGAAAGTCTCAGTTTTGTTTCATGATAGAGTTTTAAATTCCTTTTTACTTCAGAGATAGAATATGGTTAACCTCCAGGAGTATCAGCTCCTTCACTAGTTTATTTTAGTTGATTTCTTTGTGTACTCCCTTGAAATAACTTGAATTGATTTATCTGTCTTTAATTGCTTCCAAGATGCTGATGGTAATCTCATTTTTTATTTCATATCCACCTCTATAATGTCTAAATTTCATATAAATTTCTCAGTTTCTTCCCACTCCATTTGCAGAGGTTTTTTGGAAATAGTATTTCTTCCAGGTCTTCTTTTAACACATGTTCAATCATTACAAAAAATTCTAATTATTTTATTATGTGAATAGTCTGATTAGATTAATTGGTTTAGTCCGATATTGTTCTTGGACTATAAATTCTCTCTCTTGAAAGTCTAATTTAATAAAGGTCATGCAGGCTTAGAACAGAAGACTAAGACAGGGTCTATTTTAATAAAGTACCACTTGATATATTTAAGGCTAAATGAATGCGTATATCCTCAGAATATTTTAATTGTTCATAGTTACATAAGTGCTCTCATTTGCCTAAAATCAAACTAATTTTTGTCCCGTGGATGTACTGCTTTGTCACTGCATAGATAGGGTTATAATTTATGCAATATTGCTTGTAAGGTGAGGAGCAATAGTACATTAACTCTTAAAATATATATTCCAGAGGTTATATAAAATCAGAGTGATTGTGACTGGGGACAGTGAGGACATGGATGTAGCTATAGATGTACACTGAAGTGCTTCTTGCATTGTTGGGACCATCCTGTTGATTCAAAAAGTGGGCATGTGTGCAATGTAACTGGTATAGGCTTTGTTTTTTGGCATTGCTATATTGAGTAAATTTTGTTGCTTATTTCTAGGAAGTGGCTGTTTTTGTCTTTGATAAAAAGTTAATAGACAAGTATCAAAAATTTGAAAAGGATCAGATTATTGATTCTTTAAAACGAGGTGTTCAGCAGCTAACCAGACTTCGACACCCTCGGCTACTTACTGTTCAACATCCATTAGAAGAATCCAGGTAAGCTGTAGAAAAAATGAGATCAGACATTTCTTACTTTAGATCCACTAACAAAACAATGATTATCTGGAGCATTTAGCACATACATCTAATGAGGTTCAAGTTTACTGTATTTACTCACGTGAGAATATTATCCTTTCCACTGTCAGGTTTCCTTCTGCAAGCTATAGGATACATCCCTGGTGTGGATCTAATCAATAATATAATTGCATGATCTTAGTCTAGGTGCAGCTACACATGACTCTTGCAATCCGAAAATTTGGTAGTTCAATGAATTTCACTTTTAAAGAACTCTTGCAAAGACAAAATGTTTTCTTTCAAAAGGTTGTTTAGTCGTTTATTTGATTTTTTAGATGTATGTACTTCATGCCCCTGAGATTGGAGACTTTTGGTAAATCATATCTATTGTGGCTCCATAATGAGTTCTAAAGGTCTTCAAATGCCAAACAAAGGAGTCAAAATGCAGTGTATTTTTGTATTGCTTATTTGATTTATATATTGTCCCTAGGCAAAATAATGGGTTAGTCTTACGAATTTATTATTCAAATCCAGCAATGACAGCTCAGCTCACTAAAATCAAACAAACAAAGAAACGTTTCATGTTGAAATAGATATTTCTTGATCCTACTGAGGAAGCTCATGAAGGTTTTCAGGTTCTGTCTCCAAAGTGGTATTTCTAAAAGGTGACCAATAAATCTTCACATATATTGCCTTTCAAAATTCCACATTTTAAATTGGTTCTGTTAACCTATATGTTTCCAAATGTACCTAAGATACTTTTATCTTGGTTTCTAAGAGTCAAGAATACCAGGGGAATTGCATCTTCCTTTGCTGTGCCTACTCTGGGAAAGATTTCTTTCATCAAATGACACTTGCTTGTTCATATATATCTCTTCCTCTACTACTGAACGCATTTTGCACTAAGAAGAGTTCAAAGTTGTCATGCGCCCTTCAGTTATGCATACCCCTCACAAAAGCCTAAGGCAGATAAGTTAGGTAATTGAAAACACCTCTCAGTACAGTAAGTAACTTACAGGCTAAATGGCCTAGGATCAGCTCAATCTTAGTTTATGCCAGTGAATCCCAGAATACATCCTAGGTTTCTTCCTAGAATTGTTACAGTATTTCAGTTGATCCAGCAACTTCACCTGTGTCTATTTTTTTCCTAATCCTGCTCTGCAGAAAAAGAGGCTAAGATTCATATCTTGGAGTGTTAAGAAAACCTTAGTGTCCTTTTTGCTAAGAATTTAAGCCTTTTAAGTAAAATAAACACTGTAGTTATGTCAGAGTTCTTGTTCACATGTTTTTAGTAAGGCCCTGTGCTTTTATCCGATTGCTCTCCTTTCCATCCTCAGTGCTCTTTCTGTAGGACCATCACTAGCTCAAGCCTGTCAAGTGGCTTGCTGTGCCAGAAACGGCTGTGATGGTATTTAGGGAGTGCATAAAAGGAGGGTTTGGTCAGACTATGTATCAATATGTAAGAGTGTTGCAGGATAGCTATGTTTCTTTAGCATTTTGGAAGGACTTTGCAGAATGCTTATCTCTTGAAGAAATCCTTCATGGGCTCCTTCTGGCTAGACTGTACCAATTTTTTTTTCTTTTTTTCTGTCTCTAAAATAACAGATGATGGTGTAAAACTGCTTGCAAGTCACTTAAAAACAGAATAAGTATCTAGGTGGTTGGGCAAAAGAGAATGAACAGTGCTTACCTGTGTGATAGATGAACTCTGGTTTCATTTGTGTATATTTCACCATGTGTTTTTCTTTCTCTTCTAATTTGGAGTCTTCCAAACTTTGCATACTGCAGTGAGCTGGAGAAAGAATTTAATGATGGTTGGCCTTTTGTTCCTTTTTTGTGGGGCAAAGGAATACTTAGTGTGCCAGCACAGCTGAAGTAGATGTTACAGACCATACCATTCCAGGGTGTAGACACCTTTTCCACTATTAACAGAAATTTTCTGCTCAAAAATATTAGAATTTAATATAAATAAGTTTTATATAGACATTATATATTATTTATGCATATTATTTTGTATACATTTTACATATAATAAATATATGAAATGCATGAATACTTTGTATTTATACTAAATATTTACTGTAAATGTATCTACATGTACAGCTTGTCTTCAGTTCCCTTAACAGCACAGATGAGTAATGTTATTCTATATTTAACTTATTATTGGAGAAAAGAGTAAAAAGCCAAATTATGCATCTATAGATGTCATGCCACCTATTAAATAAAGAGTAGTGTGAAGAGTCCCAAATATTTAATTTACTAGACAGTCCATCTGTTACAGTTTTTCCTGAAGCATATGCATTTTTTTGCAGCCACTTTTCTTTTCAAGTTCTTGTCTTTTTATTATGTTACTCTGAATGTCATTCTGATGTTATTCAGGGAACTGCTAAAGATGCCGCAGTGTATGACTGACTTCAGCTCCTCCAGTATTAATTTGCTCTAAGTGGGTTTGCCCCATCCTTCTGGTACTCTGGCTTGGGTCTTTCTTTAATTAACTCCTAAAGTAAAAAAACAACAACCCACATACCCACAAAACAACAACAACCCACAAAACAACAACCACCAGAGAGATTATGTTTTGAAGACCAATAATAATTGTTTCCTAGACATTTTCTGTCATCTGTGCCTTAACGATAAATCTCTAAGCTCCATGGTAAAGTTAAAGTAGGATTAAAAAATAAAAGACTTTGTCATTCTGTGCTCTGATTCTTCCTTGTGATTAGTACAAAATTGAGTTCTGTAGACGTAGGTCTACTAACAGGAACATGGAAGGGGGAGTCAACAAAGTGGTAGGTTGGTAGAAGTTCAGTGAGGTTGACTGACATTTATGAATCAATGTATTTTAATTTTCAGTTGTTTTTCCTTCAGAAAGGCAGTTGATAAAGTTCTCTCTCTCAATCTGAGTGAGCAATAGGAAGCTTGCTTGTTTCGTCAATTTTTCTTTTGCTTCAGCTTGTTAATTAGTGAGATAAATAAAAACTAAGTGGTATGCTGAGGTGTGATGTCTTCTGTGATATTTTTAAGGAATGAGTGAAAAGTTAGGCATCTGTCTTCTTGCCTATAACTTCATTATTCAGAAAAATATCTGTATAACTGTTATTAGGTCTCAGTTTTCTGTGTTCCTACCGAGGCAATGTTTTAATGTTCTCATACGAGCTATTCGTTCTTAAACCAGGTATGTGTGCTACTGTTCATCTAATACTTTCTTCACAAAAGACTTTGAAACATTTGAGAAGTGAGGTGCAGTGACTGTCTAGGGCCTTCAGTGCTGTGCAGACCAGCTTGAAGGATGTGGATATAAGGAATGGCTCTGTCTGTGCTACATGACATCTGTAACACTGAGACATATATTGTTTTCAGGACCTGAAAATTTGAAATTTTGAAGGAGAATTTTTTTTCCCTTTACCACTAGTCCTTTTTATGTGTGGAGGTTTGGTTTACTTACACTTTTCAAACGTTGTTAGTACAAAAAGCCATAAAACAAGACTACTCATTTTGAGGAAGAAGACAGTAGTTAAAAAAAACAGTTACTTCCATAGGCAAATTGCAGTTCACGCAGTAACTATATTTGTTTATGCGCCTCTTGTCCATTCATTTGCAAAACAGAGGAATATTTGGATGCTAGCTTACATTTTATTAATTTTGTTTCTGGTTGCTGTCTAACCACAGTAAATATTGCTTCAGTTTTAGCCACGGCCAAAAGCCTGATCCTATAAGTTCTAGTGACAGTAAGAATTATTTGTTTGATATTGCTGGCTCAGGACAAGAAAAGTGGTGTTTTATAAAAATTTTTAATGTGGGTCGTTAGTGACGTGAATTTTAGAGAATAAAATAATGTACTCAAGCTGATTTCTATATTCTAAGAGTGTTTATTTCATTTATATATAGATCAAATATAATAATACTTATTATAGTTATACAAACATAACATATAACATGTTCTTAGGTAACACCAAGTGTGCTGGCATTGTCTAATATGACCTCTGTGTGGTTCTTCATTGACAATCAAGAGATGTATTGTATTTATTTACAAGTAGTGTTTTTTATTTGTCTCCTCTATAGAGATTGCCTGGCATTCTGTACAGAACCAGTCTGTGCAAGTTTAGCTAATGTTCTTGGCAGCTGGGACAACCTACCTTCTCCTTTACCATCCGACATTAAAGAATACAAACTCTATGATGTGGAGACCAAATATGGCTTGCTTCAGGTATTGCATGGTTGTCCTTATAATTTTCTTGTGCTTTTCATATGAATCATAGTTTTACTAAGTTTATCTTGTCTGCCTATAGTAAATGAAATTATTATAAGGTAAGACGTGACAGAGGTAAGAGGTGCTCTGATCATCGAACTGTAAGAAAGGATGAATATTGAGTACTCTAAGTTGCTATTTTTACTTATTCTGACATGGAAAATAAGAAAATAAATGAATTTGTTTACTCTATATAAATGAATTCTGTATAAAAAGAATTGTTACATTTCACCAATCCCTTATTTCTTCTTCCTTTCTAACAAGAGTGAAGATATCTTCTGCACTCTAGAGCTTGTTGTTTCTTTATTTTGTTTAATCTTGAAGTTGGTGGCAAATTTCAACATGCTCTTTTCTTTTTCTTACTCGTTTTATTCCCATAAATGCCATGCACAGAATGTAGTCCCTGTTTCCTTTTTTTTCCCCCCATAGTAGATTCTTTTTCCCACCTTTACTTTCTAGCTTCCTTTTACTGCTTCCACTGCTCTTCTGCATAATTGGAAAGACTTCTTGTCTTGCCTTCTTCTTGCTTGTAAACGTGCAGTGATGCAAAGGTCTCTGCTTCCTCGTCTTAGTTCCTGCTTCATTTTTTGAAAAGACCACAACTAACTTCTTTTTCATTTACTCCTTATGTAGAAACAAGCAGTGTGTGGCCTGTGCTACGGGCACTGTCACTCCCTTTTGTGAGTCATTACTGTACTTTACCCTCCAGGGGAGGAACAATAACTCCCTGATTTTATTTGGTGAATATTTTGTTCATCTTTGGAAAGGTTTTTTTCTTTTCTTCTTATGCTGAGGTAGTTAATTGGCATCAGTAATCTTATCTACTGATTACTCACCTTTATTTAATTTTCTTCATACATAATTATTAAGACATAGTCTACAATTGATGATGAAGAAATGCTTCTTAGCTAACTTTTCTGTTTAACTATGACCAGAGGAAAAAAAGCTGTAGTAGTAACAGAAATGTTGTAGTTGTCTGACAGCATGTTTAAGGAAAGCGTTAACCTAAAATAATATATTTTTTCTTGATTAATAGGTTTCTGAAGGCCTATCCTTTTTGCATAGCAGTGTGAAAATGGTCCATGGGAATATTACTCCTGAGAATATAATTTTGAATAAGAGTGGAGCATGGAAAATTATGGGTTTTGATTTTTATATCCAGTCAACAAATCCATCTGAACAGGAGGTGATAGATCTTTACGTTTGTCTTCTTTAAGTTTCAAATTCAGATCTTTGTCTGAAACTGATTTCATGAGCTTCATTTTCAATACAGAATCATTCATTTAATGTTCACCTTTGTATTTTGTTGGCAGAAAGGATGAGCATATAGCATGTGTTTGGACTGAAGTGCTACTTTTGATCGTTAGAAAATAGGAGCAAGAGCTGGCTCAGTAGACTTAAAAGAGACTAGTGTTAATTTCAGGCAGATCCTGAAGCCTGGGCCTGTTCTGCTCACCTGTGCGCTGGCTGACATGCACAGCTACCTAGTTTAGCCTGTTCCATCCTCTCAGTGCCTGAATGTTAACTCCTAAAAGGAATACCTGTCATAACTCATGTTTCCTTCTTATAGCAGAGTATTTTGGCATATACATTACAGTTCTCAATTTTAATAACCAGGCCTCACTGCATGAGCTAATTAATCTATATTACAGACAGAGATTTTTAGCAGTTTTACCTTACTCTGTTTCCAATTCAGTCATAATTGAATTTGAGTGATTATTTTTGCTGCCTGAGTCTCTTATTTGAATTTTCTTTAAAAATCCCTAATCGGTGTACTTTTCTTTTACTGTTCTCTTTGTAGCCAAAATTCCTTTGTAAAGAATGGGATCCAAATTTGCCGTCCTTGTGTCTTCCAAATCCTGAATATCTGGCACCAGAATATATTCTCTCTGTGAGCTGTGAGACAGCCAGTGATATGTACTCTCTAGGAGCTGTTATGTATGCGGTGTTTAATAAAGGGAAGCCAATTTTTGAGGTCAACAAGCAGGATATTTATAAAAGTTTTAGTAGACAACTGGATCAGGTATTTGCTCTATTTGTAAATGTTCTACATTGATTTTTCATATTTAAAAAGTAACTGTTTTAAAATAGGTTTGAATTTTTAGAGCACAGTGTCAGTGTTCCAGCATAAACAATCCTATACTGATGACTTACCATGCATGCTATCTTCATAATAAGAAAAAAATAAGTGCTAGCAAAATAAGGGAAGTAAGAATATATAGAGAGGAAGTTATGTGTACCAACTTTATCAGCTACCAAGTTCATTTCTCACCTGGTTTCCTTGTACCCCTGTGGAGCGCTGCGCACATGGGATAAACGTGTTACCGGTGAGAAGGGCAAACAGCATCAGACACAAGGCAATGAGTGACCAATTTAAGATTGGAGGAGACTGCAGAGATTAAAGTGATTCAATCACTTGTCATTGTGAGTGTTATCCCCTTAGCTAGCAGTAAGTTATTTCATGTTCTTTGTGGACTGTGAATATTAATAGAAGAGAGTTACTTGGAACAGCTGACATAATGTACATTCGTATGCAAATTTCCTTCATTGTAACTTCTTAGGATGCCCATTGCCCTAATCAAGTGTACTGCATTTTCATGTGTATAACTGACATCGCAGTTAAAACCTGTACCTCTTTTAAAAAATTATTTCTTATGTTCTCCAATAACCTGAACACAATTAGAAGTTGGGAGTAGGAGAACGTGACCAGAAGCAGGTAGTCTGTTGGGAGACAGAGAGAAAAGACTATGAGGGACCAGAAGCAAGTGGGTTGTAAATGGGCAGAAGGGAGGGATATTAAAGGTGTAGGTAGGGAAACGATCAAGAAGACAAAGTATAGCTCTAATGTATATTGAAAATAGTTATATGCAAAATTTTCTGACTTTATGGTGCGTGTGCTTAAATTACTTACGCAGCTGAGCCGTTTAAGCTCCAGTACTCTTCAGAATATACCAGAGGAGGTGCGTGAACATGTAAAGCTACTCTTAAATGTAGCTCCAGCAGTAAGACCAGACGCAGATCAAATGACTAAGGTCAGTTCATGGAAAATGCAGTAGCTATAGGAAAGAGGGAAATAGTGTTTGATTTGTAGAAACAATAGAGCTATTTTAAACTTTTTTCCTGTTAATCTGTTTAGTTGAAACATTAAATATGTTTTGAACTTCTTTGGAAATAATGATGTTAGCTGATGTCAAAAGCTGTTGTCCTTGCGTTGACCTTTATTCTATTAATATGAAAGAAGGGTGTGCTGAAACAGTTTAGAGTGGTCACTTAATGCAAAAGTATTTTGTTGCTTTCCAAGACAGTTGGAAGTATTTTCTATGCTGCGTTTTTATACAATTCAGTCTTTGAAACTGTATTGGAAGGATATTAAAGCCATAAAATGCCAAAGGTCAACAAATGTAAAGATTAACCTTTGGCTTATTGTTTTCAGTATATTCTTAAATATGAAGAAGAATAACTTAAGTACACTTATTTGAAGTGTACTTGCCATAATGAGGCAAAATTAATTGCTAATAGCCAATTTAAGTTTTAATTTGACAAACTCTTCCTCCACTTTCCTATTTGAAACTTAAAAGCATAATCCTTCATTTGTCTTATATCTTGTTTTCTCACAGCAGATAGTATTTCAGGTTCCGGCTGATAGAGTTGCTTAGCTAAGAATTTTCTTCTTTTCCTGTCCTACAAAAAGATTGTTTGCGGAGAGAGAAATCAGTATCTTAGCAGTAGGTAGAAATAGTGAGTGAAGAAGTGGGGGAGTCCAGGTAATGATTTTGCTAAGGTATATTCTGGAAGATGAGAAGTGAGGAATTTGGCAAATGTTACTCACATAGCTCACTTTTCTGAGTGATTGCAACAACCAAATGTGGAAAGAGTTATTTATGAAGCACTGTTGTTACATATAAAGATCGTGTTAATCTCTTTAGAGTGAATTGCAGGGTAGAGGTATTTGAACTAGCTTGAGTACTAAAAGCAGTCTGTCAAGGGCAGCATGACATAAGAGAATATGGAACTTAACATGGGCAAATTTACCTTGCTAGTTTTAACTAGGATGAGTTAGCTTATGTAGAATTCCATGCTCCTATGGTTAGACTTCTGGTGTGTGATCTGGAATATAGAATTTAAGTCCAGGTAGCTTGAATTTTCTGTTGGTAGATTCTGTTCCTCTGTACTGTCCTACGCCAGCCTGCCTCTCTTTCTGCCTGACAGCAGAGCTTCTTTATATGCTTTTATATCCTTGCTCTTTGCACAAGTTTTTCAGCTGAAAACAAGTGTGGTCTGAGACCATGCTCTGTCTCTAACCATTGCAAGCCCATGAGGTTTGATATATCCCTCCCTGATAGGGGGAGTTAGAAGAAAGGAGAAATCGTACCCATGCAAGGTGCCAAATGTAGAACTTTTCCTTCCAGTCTACATAGGTCTGAGATAGGCACTCTTCTGTCTTTTGCTTTTAACTGCTAACTGAAAGCTGAGTATGTGAGGGATTTTAGATAAATACTCTTGACATCAACATGCATATTTAGCAATCTTTCATTAATGATATAGCAGCTCCATCAGTATTGCTATGATGCACCACTGCTATAGATGAACCCCTGGTGTTTTATTCACGGCATGTTTATAAAGCCAGGCAATGTATACATTGTTGCACAGTACTTCAGAAGGCCTGTGCCGTCTTTGCTGCCAATCAGAGAATGCAGCGGGAGTAATGCAAACATGGGGGGTTATGTGAAAAATATAATATATACAAGTGGGTCTGCAAACCTGAACATTGGAGAGAAATGTGTATAATTACCAATTTAATTGCATATAAAACTTGTTGATTATAAGCTTCCAGGGATGGTAACCAAATCTGGATGTCCTAGCAGGTAATTCGCTACTGTAACATTAAATAGTGTAATTATTTTTAGGAGAACTTTTAATCAAGGTTTCTACTTTTCATTCTTTTTGTGGACAAAAACATTATTTCATATAAAATAAGTAAACATAGCTATATATAATGTGTATTATTGTGTACTTTTTTAAAACACCTGAAAAATTGTCTGTCTTAATAATCAACCTTTATCTGTGAGTATTATATTACTTAGTGTGTACAAAATTTACTTTTAGGATTGTTAGTTGCAGCCACTTCACTGTGTAAGTTTGCTATAGTGCACTGAAAAGGTACATAGATGGTTATACATGTGGAATCTTTATAACAGCATTAATGTTGTCTTCCTCCAAATCATAAGCTTTTCATGTTATTTTTAGATACCATTCTTTGATGACGTGGGAGCAATGACCCTTCAGTATTTTGATTCTTTATTTCAAAGGGATAACCTTCAGAAATCACAGTTTTTTAAAGGGCTACCAAAGGTTCTGCCAAAACTTCCTAAGGTATGTCTTTACCATCGTATGGAAACAGTGAGTTAAAAATACATAAACTTCTTTTAACATTCTTAATCTGGGAGTGCTGGACTCTATGTAACACGGTTCTATAAAAGACTGTTATGAAATTGTCAGAGTAGAGTAGTAGGAAAAGAAAATAATTTGTGCAGAAATACCCCTCAGCTATCAGTAATTCTGGAAACAGAAAATGGCTACTTGTGCTATCAGTACAGGAGAGGAACAATCATTTGCCATGTCCTCTGATAGTGCACCCCACTTTGAATGGGAGATATTTTCTCCCCACTGACAAGTTTTCTCCATTTGTGTACTGATCCTATCATAACTCTTTGAAGTCATCCTGTCCAACCTTTCCTCCCAATCAGTATATAAGATTACCTCAACTCTTTTCATAGTCAGGCAGTACTTTAACGTTGAGTGATATAAAGTTTCTTTCCCTCAATGGATAAAGCACTTTATTGTGCTAGCAGTGCCCAGAGATCTCAAAGGGAAATGTCATTCGAGATTTCTTCTGTGTAGTGCTGGACACTCTAAAATGAATCCTTTCCTTTTGCGGTATTCTCTAATTTATATAAAGCATAACGCACATATGATGGAAAAATAATACTAGTTACTTTATAATAGAATAGCTGAGTTTCTGAGTCATTCATTACATTACATTTCTTTATTTTTATATGAATTTTATTTTCAACACTGCACAGTGCTGAACTGCACATTTATTGTTGTCTCCTTTTTAATTTAGTATTTTTTTCCCCTTGATCAAAAACTGTTGATGCTTTGGCATTGGGCATAGGTGGGATTTATTTCACCTAACTTTAAATAGCTACAAACTGACCCGATCATCTTTAGGGCATTGTTTTTTTCTGTTTTAGAAGCATATATTATGAGGAGATGGATTGTGCCCTTGAAGTGTGTATCTTTCTTCATTGTCTTTAAAAGCATTTAAGGATGCTTAACTCGGATGTAGACATCCACAGTGTATATATATGCGTTTAGTCAGCTGAATCCCATTTGGAGAATTTACAAGGAGTTTACAGTGAAGTATAGTAGAATTATGTATTCATTCAGTGAGTGATAGGGTACTTCAAAACTTAAATTTCTGGTGATACATTTTTTTAGGTTCTTTTTAAAGAAAATATATACAATGAGATTTTCATAATTAAAATCCAATTTTTTGTACAGTTAATAGCTTTTGTTGGCCTTCACAGTTGCTGTAGTCCAATTGTGTCCAGAATGCAAATAAACAAAAGTAAGCAAAGTAACACAGTGTATGTTAACTTGAGTATACTGTGAAAATAAGAGTTCAATATGGAAAAATGTTTGCTTTTTTGTTTTACTCTCAGATTATCACTAAAGTTGTTGAGCTGACATTATAATAACTTAATGCAGTGCAGTGTAATGTGATATCTCCTTATTTTTGTCTCTTAGCGTGTTATAATTCAGCGAATTTTGCCTTGCTTGACCTCCGAGTTTGTGAATCCTGATATGGTACCCTTTGTCTTGCCTAACGTTCTCCTAATTGCTGAGGAGTGCACCAAAGAAGAATATATCAGGCTTATTCTGCCTGATCTTGGTCCTGTTTTTAAGCAGCAAGAGCCGATACAGGTATGTTAATGTTATTCAGATTACAATTTTTATCTTCAGTGCTTTTTCTCTGAAAAATCACTGGTTGGGCTAGTTCCCTTTTTCAACTTTATTCACATTGTCCACCTTCAAACCAACCTGTTCTGTAGCTGTCCAAGCGGTGGGCCTTAAGTCATACAAAGCAGGCTTTTCCAGCAATTTTGCTGAGCCTTTCCCCTTGCTATTTTAGATGTTTTTTAGAGCTTTAGTTGTATTTATAGATGAGAATAGATTAGCAAAAGGAAACATTTAATTTATCACTCAGCTCTATCTTTGGTCAGTTGTAGAAGGTATATTTGTAAGCGTTTGATCATTCATCTAGCCTATCTGAGCAGGGTTGTACAGTACAGTTTTTGCATATATTGTACCACTAACTAAACCTGTGATTTTTCTTTTTTCTTTCTTTTTTTTTTTTTTTAAATCCAGATTGGTAACACTGGGATCTTAGGGTGGAAAAGTTGTCACTGACACTCTCTTAAAAAGGTCTTGTTTATTCGTGATAATAAAATAGTGTTTATTTGAGTGCTATGCAAAAAACTGTGAATTTTTTTCATTTTATTTGACAAATGTACTGTGATAGTGTAAGTAAAATACCTTTTTTCTGTTGTTTACATAGATAAAGGCAGTAAAGTACTATATTTACTGTAAAGTGTTTTCATCCTTTTGTCAGCACCATGTGCGTGACAGTTATTGAAGATTTTGTCACTAAGCTAGGCATCATGCCTTGTCAGATAACAAGGCAGCTAGGCATTCCTTATAGCTCACCTTGTTTTGCAGACTGCTGTTATTTTTCTGCAGAGAACTTAAAGGGCAAGATAAGCACTGCAGTAAACAAGTACAGTTTTTACTTCTGGGTTTCAGCAAACCACATCAGCGAACCCTCAGTATACTGGGGGAGAAGGGAAGGGGGGAGCACCTGTATTTGCAAATTCCTTAGAGTATAAGAATTAATGTTTTTCACTTTTGGTACACCAGAGTTTTATGTTAGCTTAGTTTTTGTCTTGAAAAAAATAAACATAAAAAGGTACTCACCGACAAAAAGCCAAAAAACCTCTTATTTGTACTGTTGCATCCTAAGAGGTGACACTGTGTTTTGCTACTTTGGACAGCAGATTTGTAAGATAGTCCTCACTCCAAAAACCTTGAGACTCCTTTGTCTCAAGGCTGTATCTGGATGATAGTGGGCCCAAAAGCTGTTTTATTTCTTAAGAAATGAGGGAAGCAAAGTATAGATTTGGGATTAGCTTATAAAGAAAGAGCTTTGTGAAGTTTCTATGCAGTAAAGTATAATGCAGTTTTGCAGCTTTCCAGATACTGTGTATTAAATTCTCATGTGGACATTCTTGATGCACATTAAGTACTAGCTGGCTTATTCCACTTTTATTTTTATGGGCTTTTCAGTATGGCAAAGTTTGTCTAAGTAATCTAGGGCAGATTTCCAAAGTTAATGCCAGATTAATTCAGGAAAAAAAATATAAAGATTAAGAGTGCCAGATGATAGAATTCCAGGTCTGATTGGTAACAGTCAGATGCACAATCTGTCTTTGAGCAAGGCAAAAACTTGCTCTTGTGTGTTTGTAAGTCATGGGGTATGGCAGAAGGCAGTGTGTTAATGTTTCTTCTAAACACACTCTCATGATGTTTTAGCATTGTGCCAGGCCTCTTGCTTGGCATTCGTAATCTGTACATCCACAAAAAAACTGCTGATACTTGAGTTAAGAAGCAAATGTATCATAGGGAGGCAGCTGTAATTCATTATGAAGAAATTGTTATCCAGTTGACAGTGTCTTTGTATAAGGCAGATTATACTATGCAAATGGAATATTTAACTTCTCGTTCACATCATGCTTTTGGAGTTAGCATGGAATAACTGGAGTACTGTAAAGTAACATCCTAGCTTACTCTGAAATATTGTCCCCATGCAGACAAACCCTTAATTTATACCTAGGGGTATCCATAAGGAGTTAGCGTGTGATGTACTGTAAGTTCATATTCTTAATTCAGTACATCAGTACCCTAACAAATATTGAGCTCTGTGTTAGTGAATGAAATAAATCTTCAGTATCGTTGTTTTTAGCGCAACTGCTGCTGCCGCTTATGTTTTTATAGGTTGTGTCTTTGAATCTGTTAACTGTGTCATCTTAGCTTTTACTTAAATGGATAAAAATTGTCAACGGTTTTCCTAGAATACAACCAACAACAGCAGAGTTCACCAGAATAACATAAATTACATTCTAATTGAAGATACAGGTGTTGAGAGATAGCAAAAAAATTCATATGTGTGTTTTCTTATTTGAAAAGAATTGACAGCAAGAGTAGTGGAAAAGAGCTGAATTGCTTCTGTGAAATCTAAATGATTATACAGTACTGTTTAGCTTACCAGTGGTCTGTTCAAACAGCTGGTTCTTATTTTTAGCAAAGCTTTTCTAATTGTTGAGTAACAAACTACATTCATCTCATTTTTCAAATTTGCAAAACAATCAAACAAGCCTTCTCTCCCAAAACTGTTTGGCAAACAGAACACAGAAACTGTTATGCCACAGTATTACAGGGTTGCTAGAAAAGTGTTCTTAGTACATGTAGTTATTTTAGGTTTTCAAAGGCCAAGTTTAGGTCAAATAAAAATTCTTTACTCAAGAATAATCATAAAATGTAAATTTAAAACTGGTCTCATCCATCTTTCCCTAATTTTGTCAAATTTCTGGGGGTTGCTTCAGAGTCAATGTCCATGAAATGAATGAAAGAATGAATGAGAGTGTGTGTGTGTGTACAGACTGGATGATTATAAATATATAACAAGATACTCCACATTAGCTACCATTTGAAAGAATTTCTTTCCCTTCCCTATAAAGGAAAGGGGAGGAACTTATATTTGGTCTTGATATTTTTGTACTTCTAGACTCTGCGGCTTCTGTTTATTTGACATATAGGCTCTGTTTGTTACATGTATTTATACTTAAAAATTGAAATTTGTCCCTCCTATGAAATACTTGGCTTTTTATTATGAGTGTGATGCCTCTCATCGTAGTTTGTCCATCTACTCTAGCCTGTTTTATAAAAGGAGTCTAGATATCAATGGAGATGCGTCAGCGGCACCTGTGGAAGTTGTCTCACTTTTCTCAGATAGATAGATGAACTTTGGCTACACAGCGCTCTGTATTGTAGACTGAGCCCGGATGTTTGGTTTAAACTGGAGGCTAACTTTCAGATAGTTAAACATAAGCAAGATGAATCCCACTTGACTGGATGTGAGCTTAACCTCATGTGAAATTTTTTTGCTTGAGATTTGCATTTTATGATATACTGCTTCTATGAGAAATGGAGTAAAGCTATTTTGTGTCCATATAGTAGTTGTGATGTTCTTTCCATTGATTCCAAATTTTGATTTCAGATACAGAAGTAATCTAGCTTTTATAGGTGGGTTTGTGATCAAACGCTTCAAGAACGGCATTTGATCCATAGAGTTTGAGTAATGATAATTTCTGTGGGTGGAATTTAACAGAAAACAGTATTGTAAATAGAAAAAAAAAACCCTCCCCCCCCGCCATTTCCCCCAAACCATTATGATTTCTTATTTTGGAAAGATTATTCTAAAACGTACGTGTTTTGTTTGATCTGTATTTGCTGTTTCTAAAATACAATAATATGTCAAAGTGTTTTTTGTCTTCCTGTCTTCCATGCCTTCAGGCAAGCAACATGGTAAGTGATTGCGTTTACTGAGTTACAAGAAAACTTCTGGAGTTTGAATGATATGATATGCAATTCTTCATGATATGATGCAATAAATTTTAAATTGAAAGGATATGTTGGTGGAGTTAAAATCTTTTGGCTTCTGAACTGCCCTTCTTTTAATAGATCCTGTTGATCTTCCTGCAAAAAATGGATTTGCTCCTAACCAAAACTCCACCAGATGAAATAAAGAACAGCGTTCTACCAATGGTTTATAGAGCCTTGGAAGCACCTTCAATACAGATTCAGGTGTCGTAATTTCAGCTTTTATTTAAAATTAGCTGACTAATCTTTTCTCTTTCCTTTAAGGAAAAGAGAAAAGTTTCCTTTTGGAAATCATCCTTCCAATGGAATTTGTTTTCAGTAAGCCATAAGCATTCAGGAAGTGTGTGTGGGAGGTAAACAAACAAAATATTAGACAAAGAAGGATTTGGATCAGATGTCACTTTCAGCTTTGCAAAGCCTTTACAATATTATGGATAAAAGTTATTGTTTTTAAATATCTGGCTTGAGATTATTCTGCAGCAGGAGTTTGGTTACTCAGGTATTTCCTTGCAATTTGTGCTTAACATTGCTGTCTATTTTTTGGCTGCAATTGGGTAGTTTTTTCCTCTATTGCTTAAGTATGTTTAATACTGATATCTGTTTTATTTTTTAGTCTGTGATTGTGCTGCTGCAGAGTTTTACAGATATTCATTTATATTTGCTTGACCCATTTTCTAAGATTCCATCTGCATATCATGATGCTTTATTATTGTAGCTATTTCTAAGTGACTCTGATAGATTAAGTTCATTCTAGTGAACATGATGAGTATTTCCTTAAAAGGAATACTTGGAAAGACAAATTGATGTTGAACTTGAGTAAAAAATGTATTGGCTTTATAGCAAACATGCATGTTTCTTTTTAAACTTATGTGGAATATTTTTTTTATAGGAGCTTTGCCTAAACATAATTCCCACATTTGCCAATCTAATAGATTACCCATCAATGAAAAACTCATTGATTCCAAGAATTAAAAATGCGTGTTTGCAAACTTCTTCTCTTGCTGTAAGTATCGTAATAATTTTATTTCTTTCTCAGTCTTCAGAAAATGTAAAATTGCTTGTAATTCCTTTGGCTTTTTTGCTATTGCTCCTTTAAATAAAAGCCGATCAATATACCCTGATTTCTTTTCAAGATTTTTTACATTAATGTTGGTATGTTTCAGCACATTGTATGTTAGCGGTGTTTGTCCTGCAGAAAAGCCAAAGTTTTATGAGCAGTATGCAACTCTGTTTTCCTGTAATGATACAAACATTTTTGTAAACTCACCTTGAATTTTCAGATATGAAGGCTGTAGTTTCAGAAGCACCTTCTTTATTCTTGTAAATATGAGTTTTATGTGTCCTTTTTCCTAGGTGAATGAATAATTAAGATGTTATTTAATTCTTATCATACTTCGTAGGTCCGGGTAAACTCACTAGTGTGCTTAGGAAAGATTTTGGAGTACTTAGATAAATGGTTTGTGCTTGACGATATTTTACCTTTTCTGCAACAAATTCCATCCAAGGAACCTGCAGTGCTAATGGGAATTTTAGGTAACTAATATTTTCAACTTTCTCCTATTTTGCATTTTGATATTGTAATCTCAGAGCTTTCTGTATAATCATTGATAATGTTTACATAGTCTAGCTAAAATGACTTGTTTCTCCTTCTTAAGTAGGTCCCTGTTCAGTTACCTAAGGTATTGCTGATACTTCTGTCACTAGTCCATATATTTGTAGTCCTGAAGGCCCAACACAGCTCTGAGTACTCTTTGCAGTTCTTAGGCTGTGACACTTTTGTGGACTCTATGGCCCACCCAGCCAGAGAGGTAGTTTCCCTCGGAGCAGTATAAAATCTGTCCTCTTTCAGTTGCTGAACACTTTACTGAAGCTTTTAAGATGCTACTGCTGTCTTCAGTTACCACTCTTGCATGTCAGATGCTATAAATGATTATCAGTATGAATCTATTGCACTTCACTGCAGCTTTTGTTAAATGAATTTTGCCCTTTAAACAAAGACACGGCTGCCTTTGCACCAAAATGGAGCGTGTTCTGGGTAAGATGTCACAAAGCAGTTACAATAATTGGGTGGCTTGCTACCTCTGGAAGGGAAGGCCTCGCTCCCAGTTGTGCTTCCCTAGTGCCACTATGGTGCTTGGCCAGCTCAGGATACATGCTTTTAACATTACAAGCATTTTAACTTGAATTGGTTCATGAGCAGACCAGATGATTTGAAGTCACTGCCAAGGAGAAGTGTGACTGTGTGATCAAGTGCTGGGAGGCAGTGACCAATTTCTCTTACTGACAGCAAAACAGTAGGCAAAAGACCATTTGCAACAGTTGAGCTGTAGCGGCAGCAACCCTCAGTAGAGCCCTGTAACAAATATGTGATGGTAGCACTTTTTAAATTTACTCTCAGTCAT